CTGGTGGAAATGAGACTTGGGGACACTGTTTTAGGGTGGCTCTGGCCCCTCCTGGAGGAGAGAATTCAGAAGGTAGTACGTATGTACTGGGGGCCGGGGGGGGACGACTCTCTTTCCATGGATGACACCCTAACTCTTACCCCTCCTTGCCATCTAAACCTCCTTGGTTCTTAGATCTGTGACTGGTGTCCGTAATGGACTGGACGAGGGTGAATAAAGTGAAACTTATTCCAGATAAGACAGAGGTGCTCCTGGTCAATTGAAAAACTAGTGTGTCAGCTACATACGTTTCTTGAGAGATCTGATCTGGGCACTGTGACGCACATCCTAGTTACTTCCCGGCTGGATTACTGTAATGCGCTCTATGTGGGGCTGCCGATGGAAAGGGTCAGGATAGCTCAGATGCAGCAGGCAGATTGTTACAGCAGCTCCCCTGGCTACTGATCTGTTTCTCGGCCCAATTCAAAGTGCTGGTCCTTAACCTATAAAACCGTAAATGGCTTGGGTCCAAGTATCTGCAGGGCTGTGTCTCCTTTTATGAGTCTGTCTGGGTGTTAAGGTCCCACCACTACCCACCCACACTGGTACATTTGGTTTACGTGAGGGCCTTCTCTGTCACTGCTCCCAGACTCTGGAACTCCCTCCCACTGGAGGCCAGGCCGGCCCCATCTTTGCTGTTCTTTCACAAGCAGGCAAAGACCTTTCTCCTCAGGCAGGGTTCTCCTCAGTGACTGGTGGCCTGAGTCGGGCTTTTAAATGGATTAGCTTTAGATAGTGTCTTTGAATGTTCCAAGCCATCTTGGGTCCTTTTGAAGGTGGGGTAAAAATATTTTAAATACAATAAAATCCATGGGCATATATTCAGTCTTTGTCCTGTGCAGAAAAGGCCTATTGAAATAAATTGAACTTATTAGTCCTTAACAATTACAGTCTCGATTACTTCAGTCAGTCTAACATCAAACTGGATTTAACCACAGGTTGTTTATTGTGGTTTAAGATTTTAAGGCACCGTTCAGAGCACAGCACTGCTAGAAAACCTGCGAAATAAAAGACAAAAGTGAAATGTCAATATTGTCTCTTCAAACAGATGGCTACAAGCTGTGGTGTTTTACATGGAAATGCTTTTCAAACTTTGCATTAATCAATTTATTCCCTTCAGTTTCTGGCCATTAAAATGCAAATGGGTTGTATATTAATTAGTCCTCCTAACCATGTTTACTTAGAAATAGGCTCAGCTGATCGAGATGGTACCCAATTACATTGGCTTTAAACAGAACTTCTCATATTTCAGATGATGCTGAAGTTTATCTTGGTCTCACTGGACC